GCAGGGATGGGGCGRGCTGGCGCTGCTGCAGGCCGAGCTGCCGCGGCACTTGGCCGGGTGCGGACGGTGCGGGCCGTGCTCACGGTGTCACGGTGCTCCGCAGGCCCGAGCACCGCCGGGAGACGGCGCGGTTCTGGCGGGAGAACCGGGTGGAGGCGGCGCTGCGGGAGCAATGCCTGGTGCCGGCCGAGGAGTACGAGTGCTTCACACAGGCTCTGGAGCGAGCGCTGGCCGAGCACCAGCGGCGGGAGGAGGAGCGGATCCTCCAGGTACCCTCGGCCACCTCCCCGCATCGGCAGCGGCCTGGCCCCCGCCGGCCCCGCCTCACCGCTCTCTCCCGTCCCGCAGATGGCGGCTGACATCCGGGAGGCCGAGCGCCGGCAGCGAGACACGGTGCAGGCCGCGCTGCAGGTTGGTGAGCTGTATCCTGCCCTGGCTGCAGCCTGGCGGGGATCGGGCACTGCGCTGCGCACCGCCACCGGCACCCGGGTGCGCTCGGGAGGGGCGGGGGGCGCTCGGGTGGGGGCTGTGCTCAGTACCAGAAATACTGTTCCTTTTTCCTGAATCGCACTCAGCTTCAAACAGAGCCAGAACTTTGTGCAGGACCTTCTGTCTGGAAGCCCTCGGCAGGAGCTGAACGGTGAGTACCATTTTCCTTAGCCGTGACTGATAGATCCCCGCTCAAAGCACCCGACACAGGGGAGTTGACCCTGTCATTGCCAGGTTCTTGCAAACCTGCAAACGTTTGTCCGCATTAGAGTAAGCAGTGTTCTCTTCTTTCAGGGACAGCCCTTGTGCTGCAGAACAGCCTGGCCCAAGCAGAATGCAGACAGGACCTGATTTAGCCTGGATGGAATCAGGCCAGGTTCTGACCTTCATTGGCCATCAGGTAGGGGTGACTAGCTGGCAAGTGTGACTTTGATTCAACTGCAAGGCACCTACAGCCCATGTCACAGATCAGAACAAGAGGTGGTTTCCAACAGCTTTGTGGATTTCGGCAAGCAGCTAGCTCAGTTTCAGTTATTCAGGTTTAACTTGCATTAAGCAAACATTCTCTAATACGCCATCAAAAAAAYCCCCCACTTTTAAAGAAGAGCCTACTTCTGCCTTTTTGTAATAAAACTTGATTCTAGAAGGGAATGAAGACAATGCTCTTCTGTTCAGAGATACTCTTAATCATAAGATTCTCATAAGCGTTTTATATTCCTGTTAACAGGAAACAGAAGGAAAAGGAAATGTCCACACAGGTAAGTAAGTGTACCTGCATCGTGACTCACTGGGTTGCTACCTCTTGGCTCACAAATGTCACAGGGATAACTCATCAGTTTTGAAGCAGGTGCAGCATAACTAGGAAGTGCTCACTCTTTTGGGACTATTTGACATACTAGAGAAGAAAACCCTTCAGCATCATAAAAGCTCTGTTGATGCTGCTGCTGTGGAAAGTATGGGGTATGATCTGCCATGGGCTTAATGGAGGAAGCCAGCCCCTTTTTCTCAGAACACCCAGAGTTCATTTTGTCACTTGCTTGGTAGGGCAAGTAGCAGAGGGGACGCTCTTTTCTTGTCAGTTTAGGATAACTTCAATGGCTAAATAAGTATTCCCTGTGACTTCTAGGAGCAAAACCTCCATGGCTAACAGAGGAAGAAGATGGAAGTAAACAAGAAATTGGACCTTCGTATGAGGAATTTCTCAAACACAGTGAGCAGCTTGCACACYTTTTAGTTAACCTTACAGTCACTTTACCAAGCTAGAAAACCAAAAACAATTTTAAAAACTTTTCCTGAACAAAGTATTTGGGCTTTTGAACAACGTGGCCTAGGGGGAAAGCGTTGCTATCCATGGCAYGGGGGGTTGCGGCAACATGATCTTTAAATTCCCTTCCAACCCAAGCCATTTTACAATTTTATGGTTTTCTGTTTTTTTTTCAGAGGAGAAGCAGAAGCTGAAAAAGCTCCCGGTGGAGCGAGTTGGTGCCAACTTTGACCATACCTCTCAGACAAGTGACAGCTGGCTCCCTTCCTTTGGGCGTGTATGGAATCATGGCAGGAGGTGGCAGTCCAGGTGAGCTTCAGGGCAACACAGATGGATGCCAGGGAGAAGAGTCTGTGGCTTCTGCCCATGCAAGCTATTTATGGAGCAGGCTCTGAGGTAGCAGCAAGCATAGGGAGACATCCTGCCATACAAGTTATACTGCACAGTGCTTAATCCAGGCAGAGTCGTTCTTGTCCTGGAGCAGCACACACATGGCTTGTGAGGTGAAACATGCTTATGGCTCTAACGGCCGCACACATAAAGGCATCTGCCTCATTTTGCTTGGCTCACCTTTCAGACTTGACATACTGTTCCACTGGTGCCTTTTAATGTGCCAGAACTCTCTCAGGTAGACGGATCTACCAGTCAACTGAGATAGATAACAAAAATACTGAGGGAGCTTCCATGCTGAAACACTATGCACAGCAGTTTACTTTTTTGAGGAGAGTGCTCATTATTTCTGTCTAAAGGCTACTGCAATCTGACTTATATGCTCTCTTTCAGGCATCAGTTTAGAACTGAATCAGGGGAAAAGAAGAAAAAGGTGATCAGATGAGGAATACCAGACAACCAGCTCTGCTGTGGAGAGTTTGACTGTAGGTAGCTGCAGTTTTGTTATTGCTGACTGCCTTATAAGGACATAGCGTCCATCTGGACCTTCACATCTAAAGCCACACAGTCAGGTCCTGCCAGCAAGGAGTAGTTCCTGCAGACACAGTATTTTCAGAAATAACAGAAAGCCTACTTTATACAGCAAGTGACACTAGTGGCCTATGCTGATATGGAACATCCCATCAAAGAAAGAATTCTCGGAGAAATAAACTTTTTTATTAAATGTTTGTGTTTGCAGACCAACTGAAACTCATTTCAAGTGCAGGGCGCACCCTGCAGGCAACCAATAGCAGGTGCCTGGGATTTTCATTCAAATCTATATTGCTTTCCTTCATTCTAACTTCATCCTTTACATGGTCTAACATAACTGGCTGCTGTAGGTGATGCAGAAGTTTTTTCCCTCTTAGCAGCGCATTTTTAACACCAATAAAGGCAGAATCTTGCTGGTAGAGGGAAACAGCTATGACCTCTACTAGAAGCCACTATCAATAATTTATTAATGAAGAAACATACGCATTCTTGAAAAAGCATGAAAAATTAATAATCAGTAATTTTATTGTGTGCATCTACATATGATGCATTGTTGACGAAGTCACTGGAGCACCTGCAAAGCAAAAAGCCCCCAGTCAGAAAACCAGGCCAAAGCAGGTTAGCACAAAGCAAACAGTTTGACCGTTTTGTTCCAGCAGGAAAACTTGGCCATAGTGCCCTGTGAGAGCAGGGAGGACAAGTGTCCGTTTGCCCTGCAGCTCACAGAGAGGGGAACAAATTATGTTCTCCCCATCCAGGGGGCACAGGGACAAAATCAGAAATCACTCCAATTCTGCAGAATTGATGTTTCCAGTAATGCTCCCCAAGGAAGTTGCTCAGGGTGCAAGCAAGATACTCGAGCATCTGGAAGAACAGCCCAYCAGAGTCATGGAAGTTGCCCATGACACATTGCATAGCTGTCCATTAGCTCCTGACAGCACAGCTCAGCTCCTCAGAACCTGGCCTCACCTCCTTATGCGTCCTCCCCTGCAGCAGGGGCATCTCCACCTTTTGTATTTCGGGTATAGATCACCTGGGCTCGGTGCTTGGACACCAGTTTGATCAAACCTATGAAAAAACAAAATTATGTCAGTGTGCATGTATTGACAGATGTCAGGGACGCTGAAGTCTCTCCTAGAGACAGAGCAAGGTAGCAAGAGGAACTACTAGGAGGTGGCAGCTTATGCAAGTCTCTTGTTACCATCTGGCTGCAGTTAACAGCCCATCCTTCTAGCAACATTTTTCTTCTTGCCTCTATGTWGCAGAACTGCTGCTCTGTACTTTGGTGCACTGAAATGCAAGCAAGGGCAGTGGCTCCCAAAAAACGATGCATGGAGCATTTCAGATTCTGCAGGAAAGCTGCTGGACAAGCAAGGAAAATCAAACAGCCAATTAAGCAGCTTTCTGACTTTTTCCAGTTTTGAGTGCTCACCTTTGCTGAGTAGCTCCTGGAGAGCAGCCCGAGCCAGGGAGCCTCGAATCTTCAGCCTTTCTGAGACAACTGCAGGCGTGATGAGCTTGTAGTTGGGCACTTCTTTGCACAGTTTGTCATAAGTGGCCTTGTCAAACAGGACAAGGTTGTTCAACTTGTCTCTCACTTTCCCCTTGGACCACTTCTACTTGAAAAGAGAGAAAAAATTACCCCAAGCCACCTTGTAAGCAAGAACAAAAGATCGAATTAAAGGATGCCCCAATAACTAGGATAACGCAAGACATTAAATGTCTTCATATCACATCCCAAACTAAAAGACTAATGAGATGCACAAAATCGCCTTTAAAAACGAACGCGTTGCAGTTAATACCTGCAGAAATTAAGAACGAAAAGACTAAAGCCTTCTGTTACTCGAGTTTAACACAACTTGCTGGCAGATGAAGAGCTGGCTCTCGTAACGCGATTCCCGCCCCACCCTGAGGCCGCACACGCGCCCGGCCCGGGGATCGCGGGGATCGCGGGGATCGCACCGCAGCCCCCCCTCTCGCCGGCTCCCACCTTCTTCTTGGCTTTGCCGCCGGACTTGTTGACCGGGTCCTTGTCCTTCTTGGCGGATTTGCCCGCGTCCTTCTTCTTCTTGTCGTCTTTGGGCGGCTGCGAGAGGGTGAGAAGGATGGGGGGTGAGCGGCGAGGCAGGAGGCCGCCCCCCCGGCACCCCAGAGAGCTTTCTGCCCCGCTCAGGGAGCCGCCAGGATCTCTCGGAGAGCCCGGTCCGCCTCGCCGTCCGCCCCCCGGGCCCGGCCCCGCTCACCATGATGCGGCCGCAGCTGCTCCGCAAGATGTCGGCGAGAAAAGGAAGAGAGCGGCGTGGGTTGGGGGTGGGCCCGGGCGGGCAGCGCGTCACTGCCGGGGCGGGCGCTGGCGCTGCGGGCACCGCGCTATGGCGATCTTCAGCGTCTACGTGGTCAACAAGGCGGGCGGCCTCATCTACCAGCTGGACCACTACGCGCCCCGCGCCGACACCGAGAAGACGTTCAGCTTTCCGCTCGATCTCGTCCTGCGCCCGCACGACGAGCGCGTCGTCGTCGCCTTCGGGCAGCGGGACGGCATCCGCGGTGCGGGGCTGGGAAGGAGCGGGCGGGTCGGGCGAGGCCGGGCTCTTCACTGCCGGCACGGGGGTGATGGCGCGGCKCTGCCCCCGCAGTGGGTCACGCCGTGCTCGCCATCAACGGGGCCGAGGTCAACGGTCGCTTCACAGCGGACGGGAAGGACGTGCTGGAATTCCTCGGTAACCCCGCCAACTACCCGGTATCCATCCGCTTTGGCCGCCACCGGCTCTCCTCCAACGAGAAGCTCATGCTGGCCTCCATGTTCCATTCGTGAGTCAGGGTGGACCGTGCCGGGAAGGGGGGAGCACGGCAGGGCGGTGCGGGGCGGTGAGGGGTGCTGAGGGGCCTGTTCGCACAGGCTGTTCGCCATCGGATCACAGCTGTCACCTGAAGTTGGGAGCTCCGGGATCGAGATGCTGGAGACCGATACCTTCAAGCTACACTGCTTCCAGACGCTGACAGGTACCATCGGGTCCTGGGCACCCGGCACTGCTCTGCTTTGCCAGGGCTGTCTCTGGGCTCGGCTTTCCTTATGCTTCTGGCATTATGGCTCCAGGGATCAAATTCATGGTTCTTGCTGACCCAAGGCAGACAGGGATAGACGCTCTTCTCCGCAAAATTTATGAGATTTACTCAGACTTCGCTCTGAAGAATCCTTTTTACTCCCTGGAGATGCCAATAAGGTAAGGAAAAGCCCACTTTTGTATCCTGGCTGCAACCCCATTGCTTTCTGCCTATGCAGTAGCAAATGCAGACAGTCCTTTCATAGCAAAGCTACCTGAGGGAAGGGGAAGGTGCACTTCCTTGGCACAAAACCTGCTGTCCCACCATATATTCAGGCCTATACAAGAAGGTTTGATCCTAATTAAGGACCAAATCAGACCTCAAAAGCAGTCATGTTGCTGTGTCATAAATTTCTTAATCTCTCCTTGATGGATGCAGAGCCAAAGGATGTGGAGATCCTGTCTTTGTTAACTCACTTTCATAGGTAAAAGTCATCCCTTTTGCTTTTCTGACTGTTTCAGGTGCGAGTTGTTTGATCAGAACTTGAAACTTGCTCTGGAGGTGGCAGAGAAAGCTGGACCCTTTGGACCAGGATCATAGAGAAAGCCTCTCCTGTTGCAGAGATTCATTCATCTGAACAGCGGGGCCTCTCTCTTCCCTGGAGAGCCTCTCACAAAGCTCCCCTCTCCACAGCAGAGATTGCACACCCCCAAAACATGCTTATCCCTTTTGTTGTTAAAACTTACCTTAAACAGATTTCCTTAGCACAGTTTACACTGGGCCACAGGGCTTTATTTTGCTGTTGTAGCCCTGCTGCACTTGGGTGAAGGTGCAGGTCTGTGGTCCTACCACAGTGCTTTTCTTTCCTGTCATAAACGTACACATGTATTTTTCCTGTATAACTCTTTAATTTATRGTCTTGCAAGGGGTTTCTGTATAGAAGTAATAAGTGTTCATTAACGAGACAAGTTGCTGTTTGCTTTCTGTTGGTGTGGGACATTTGCCATCTCAAGAGGRTAAGTGGGTTTGGGTGGCTTTGCTTGCACGACTCTCCATAAGACAACCAGGGCCCTCGTGACACTGTTCCATTTTTATTTCGCATATAGAAGATCATGTAATTAAGTACAAAATATAATTCACTTCCATTGTTTTAATTAAGGCTAGCTAACTACTCTTGCAACCAAGGTATTCAGCAAAGTACCTGCATACAGGTTCTTCGCAAGTCGAACTTGCCTCTTTCAGGATCCTAAAGCAGTAAATTCTTTTGGGGAAAAACAAGAATATTCAACATCCTGGTTAAAAACCTGAGTGTACTTATTGCAAGGTGCTGGGCCTGACTSCTAAGGCGGACTCAGAGGCAGCCCAAGCCCCTGCCTGCAGGCCATAAGATGCAACTCTTGACCAAAACCACCGTAGTCTTCACACCGTGTACTGAATGCTAAAAATGAGGGTTGTAATAGAACCCAGGCACAGAAATGGTGGTGGTGGCTGCTGTTGCAGTTCCTGCTGCTGGGATACTTTTCCTGGCTCATTCACAGAGCACTGGCTGTGAGCTGCCTTGGCAGCAGCTGCCTCCCTTGGAAATCATTAACACTGCACACAGATGTCGCCCCAAGCAGGATCAGCTCATTAGAAGGAGCTCCTCCAAACACCATGAATTCCCTGGAAACATGCCTATTTCTAAATGCTGTGGGGAGTCCTGCCACAGCAACAGCCCCCTGTTTCCAGTTGTCCACAGCAACACACTCCTTCACCCCTAGCAGCTAACCCCAGATTCAGCTAAAGCCTTGCTGCTGTCAAAGCAGGCTGGACTGCAATCRTCACATTCCCTGCTCTGCTGCTGTCCTGTGGCTGAGCACACGCAGAGCTCATGCTGAAGTGACCTGGGACAACTGTGCTTAGGCAGCTGGATGGGACGGATGCAGGCAGAAAGGGCTCGGTTCAGTGCCCCTGAGCAGTGAAGCTGAAATGATTAATGTCTCAGTTAATGGCTGAGACAAACAGTAATGACAAAACTAAAGGTAAGTGCACCTGAAGCCAGCCATTTCAGACCACCTGTAGTGGGGAAGCTCAGGCTGTGGAGCCTGCTTTCTTGACTAACAGTGCTGTGATGAAGAGGTACAGTAAAATCACTGCAAATGTAAACTAGGTGAATTATCACATCTTGARGGAAAAAGCGATCAGTAGCAGGAACCTTGTGCCTTCTGGCACCTCACATTGGATGAGAAGTTGAGACATTTTTATCTAGGTTGCAGCAATAGGTAAACTCACTCCTAGGCCAGTTAAACAAAAACGAGCATCATTCATGTCAGCGTGGGAACATCCTTTCTATCAAGCAGCTTATCCTCAGTCAGCCTTCCTGGAAATCCGGCCCATCTTGGTGCGGATGTTTCGTAAGAAGAAGAAAGCCACTGTGCTGCTGATACAGGTGACTTCAGCTACCCAGAATGCTGTGGCCCAGCTGTAGTGCTTGGCAATCGTACTGAAAGGCAGTCCAGCCAGGAAACCCCCAACTGTAATGAAAAACAAACAGAAAGCTAACAACACTTGTGCGTTCCCATATTATCTATCAATACCTGCTTCTGCACATATATAAACATTCCTCAGACCTGGTGTGAATTTAAAGCACAACACAAAATCTGTCAGGCACAGCAGGAAGCATCCTTGAGGCTTCCAGTTCCATTATCTCTCCCCTTAGGTGACTTCTCATGATCAATAACTTGGCACTCAGGGGCTAGACCATGCTTTATCAAGAACATGCATGGGTTTTGTTTGTTTTTTGGGGAAATGGGTATTACTTACCATTGGCCATGAGGGCCACTATGGCATGGGAGGTACCGCACAGGTTGGCAGGGGCACTTTCGTTGGCTATGACCCCAAACAGGGCAATTGGCCCATATGAGGAAAACCCAAACACAGCTCCCAGAGTCAGAATCCACAGCTGTCAAAGTAAGTCAAAATCAGAAACAGAATCTGTGAATCTCACCGTCAGTTAGCAACTGTTGACAATTCTCAGATTCTATACACAGTACCAGAGAGTTTTGACATTTCAGGTTGACACCAGCTCCCCAGCCTGCAGCCAGGAGAGCTTAAGCCTGTAAAGACCCCACATCCATAAAGCACAGCTGCATCTCCACCACTAGGTCTTGCTAGCCAGTGCAAGCTCTCCTCCCTCCCAGAGTTCTACCTCMTACACCATGTAACACATCCTGTGCTGATTTGCAAGAAGGAAACAGAACATCAAAGAGAGAAGGGCAATGAGCCCGTGAAATGACAGGAAAGAACTGTGAATCAGGTCACTTTCATAAACAATCCTTGAGATACCAACTGAAAGCTCTTCTCAGTTTAGATACATGGAACTGATTAGAGCATCTTTATTTTTGAGACACCTCTCTCTGATGACCTCTATGTTACCAAACTGAGAAACAACAAAAAAAAAACCAACCAAAAAAAAACCCCAAAAAACCCCACAAAACAAAACAAACAAACAAAAAAAAACCAAAAAAAAAACCCCAACAGTTTGAACTTCAGTGTTAGCTTATGCTCTAAGAAACCTATCTGGCCCAAAATTATCAGTCTCTTGTTTGCACAGCAAAGGATAAATAATACATCCACATTACAGCATGCTTTTAGAACTGTAAACACCAATTCAATAAGCCCAGGAGGAAGTAAGTGCCATTGCATTTTCCAGATGTGAAACAGAAACAAGTTAGGAAAGCCCTTGACAGAAACTAAACAAGAATGCATCTGCCAGAGCAGAATCATTCTTCCTGATCTCACCCACAAGACCCCTTAAGGTGGCTACATTTTACCTGATAAATGGAAGTCCTCAGAACCTTTCATATAAAACTTAGAAGTTACAGAGTTAGACTTTTTAAAGTCAGTTAGTGTACTCAAATTATTATAACAAAATGTTTCTCTAACAAAACTTACAGTAATCTCTTCTCAGTGCCCTGGTTCTAAGTTCTGAGGTGCTAACCAACCTCTCAGGATAGGAGTAAGGCAGACCAGGGAAAGAAGAAACAGGCAGAGGGAGAAAAAATGCAAGCAGAAACCTCATGTTCTTTTAGGCCTGTAAGATCAGCTAGAGGTTGCAAGGCTACAGTCCAGAAGTGGTTTTCCTGAAGAAGAAGAAAATGAAAGGAGAAAAGAAGTTTTATTTATTAAGCCATCATGAAGGCAGATGCAAGTCATATCTGATGCAAGGCTGGTAAGGCAGGCTGCCCACAATGACAGGACAACAGAAGCACCCCAAGCCAGACTAAGCCAGTGTTTCTCCACAGTGCAAACAAACCCACCCTTGGGAATGGTGAAGAAAACAGTCGTGCCCCCTGTCATCAAACCTCCCTATTCCAGGTCTATGGACGCAACTGATAGCCAGCTGCTGCATGTGAATTACCTTGGGAGAGTCACCTGTGACTGTGACCCGAAAGAGAAACATGGACACACACATCCCAGCCATCATGGAAAGCAGCAGCGCATGCCGAGGATTCCCATAGCTTGACAGACCCACCTGCGAGACAAGGACAGAAACTGGAGTGACTTCCTTTCATACTTCTAGTGACTAATGCCATCCACAGCTCAGTCAGAAACATGGATGGCACATCAACAGCACATCTGTTGGCACGCCTTGTTAGTGTGGTTTAAGGGCTGCCGCAGTTCCACTGTGCTAAACAAAAGCTCTTRGTGATCAACGACACTTCTGTTATCAACCATATCCACCCTGATTTTGGCTCCGGATCCCACTACTGGATTTCAATATGGATTTTTTTCCAGCCAGAAGAAAACTATCAGCAAACAGTTCTCCCTCAACATGAAAATCGGGATATCAGAGTAAAACAAACAAATTAAACAGATGAAAACATCTCAGATCTGACACACATATTGCAATCCCTAACATCAGCACACCTACTCCCCAGCACCTTCTGGAGTGTGCTCATGCACATGGCAGAACTGAGCATGGGCTGGTTTCTCTGTTGTACTCACAGGCACAGCACCCTGCCTGAGCACGTCACTGAAGCAGCAGCAGATTGACGCTGCGTTCCCTGCCCAGCACGCCCAAGGATGTACATGACTTACTTTTGCTACTGCTCTATCAGAAAGGTATCCAGCAGCAATGCTTCCCACCAGGCCCCCAATCTCCAAGGCACTCATGTAGGAACTGCCTAGAATAAAGATGAAGCAAAGAACAGCACATCAGATTTGGTCAAAACAGAAAAGGTGCTGTGGGCTCCAGACTAGTCCCACTGCTGTAAGCTCACAGAGCACTTGAGCACCTCATGCCTGTTCAGGAATCCCTGTCTGCTAGTCCCAGGAGAATCCTGGCACTGGAGTGCTTGGTGCATGTAGTAACTCCATTACAGAGTTATTTCAAAACCTATGTGTATCCAAGCAGACAACTAGGAGGTGGGCAAAGAAGTCCCTCAGTTGGAAGGGCCTCTATTGAGGCAAACTCTGGGCAATGCCTCCTAGACTACAGCCCAGAGCTTACTAATGTGGCTTTGCATCTTACCCACAAGCATGGACTGTCCCCTCTCCTGGATCAGGAAGAGCTGTCCCCAGTCAGTACAGCATGTTTTCACTCCAAAAACGACCAGGTAGCCTGTTGAGAGCACCCAAAGGTACGGCGAAAGCAGCAGCTCTGTCAAGGTGCTGTTGTCACTGGAGGAACCTGCAGGAAGGTCAGGAGGGACATTACCACGACCCAAATCATACCAACCAGCAGCCCAGTAGACACATCTGCAGGCAGGATCCAAGCATGAGAATATCTTGACACAGGGAGRTATTCACAGCTGCTGAATGGTAGGGAATGGCTCTACCTCTACCTTGTTCTGGTGATTTCAGAATCTCTTCTGTCATTTTATCCCACATTCATTCAACATTTGGAATAAATAATCAAAGCACTACTCCTAGTAATGTTCTACATTGCAGTTGCCAACAGATCCTTCACAAAAGTTGTTAGAGAAATGACCTCCAGATTCTTTGGTAGAGTTTTTAAGCTGTGCCTGTGAAAGCCACTGCACAGACCCAAACAAACAATACTGACTTTCAGATGCTTCCTTGACTTTTGCATCAGTCTTCCAGGAGCACAAACTTGCTCTCCCCAGAGAATGCCCTGGGGAAAAAATATTCTTATGCAAAGAGGTCAAGTTTGGCAGCACAGGCAACATGGGACAGCAYGGAATACAGGCTGAGTTTCCACTGGCCTTTAAAATCCTACCAAAAACTTGTGTTGCAATTCTCATCAACATGTTCCGCTTTCAGAGAAGCACCACATTCAGTGGTCTGAACAAACATTTACTAACTAGCTGTCCTAGGTTAGGACAGAAACCCTGAGCAGAGTCCATCGTGAGCCAGGGGTAAAGAGAGCCCAAGGTGGGGTGAGGGGAGAACTGCCTGTCTGCTGCCAAAGCAGAGGAGCAGAAGGTCCAGCTTAAGGAAGTATTTGCTGCTGTTGTCGTTTTTCTTTCTCCACCACTCCACCAAGACTACATTCACAATCTGAGCACCCCAAAAAAATAGGGGTGCTGGTAGCAGGAAGACATGACATATATAGGGAGAGCCAGCAGTGACCATCTCAGCAACACCCAGGTGGCTGCTGGCAGGCTAAGGTGAAAGGCCAACAGAGGGCTAACAGCAGGTTTTACCCTGCTCTGTCAGAGTCGCAGGAATMCCTACACCAGCCCCTTCCCACAAGATCACAGTGGGCCTTGATTTATACCATTTCTAACTCCAATTACCAGAATACAGCTGCCAAAATCAACCCCCTACCATGCGCCTGCCAAGCTGTGATTTCAGAAATTGTGCAAGATGGGGGTGTCAGTATGCTGAGAGCAACACACCTGCAACCAGAATACAGACAGAAGGCATTACACCTTCTCCTTGTGGCTCCCTGATTATATCAAAGTTACATGCTCACCTTTCTTCCCTTTCTTGGCTCCTTGTTCAATGTTGGGCAGCCCAACATCCGACGGCTCATTTTTAATCAAGACAAGGCAAACAAAAGAGACAACCATGCAGGTGAAGCCAGAGAAGGACAAAGTCTTGCGCCAATCGTAGTTCATAGACACAAGAGCAGCGACAATGGGGCCTAAGCCTCCAGCCAAGTTCATGCTTGTAGACAGGATTGCCCACCAAGTCCCGAACTGGGAAGGCTCAAACCACTGTGCAACAAGAAAAACAGTATGAGGTGTAAGAGAGTGACAGCACACTGAAAAACCCTCCCTTGAGGCCCATGATGTGGGGTTGGGGCAACTCAGACACACAACTCCAAAAGTAGGTAGAGGGAATACCCACACTTTGCTACTTCAGTCAGGCAGAGAACTCCAAATGTTACTCAAGTGTCAGCCATAAAAGCTTGACAGGTGCTCACACCGTGAGCCAGCCTAAAGTTATTTCCATTTACAGACCATGAAACTGAGACGTGGGGCAGGAGAGACAAGTTTAAGTGCACATGGTTCTGCGTACTCACTTGCTAGGAACAGTGTCCTCCTGGAGAGGTCTGCTGGCTCAGGAACTTGGATGGATACGCAGAGAGTCACAGGGTAACTTTAGGACTCGCTGGTGCATTAAGTATCAGACATGTTGGGCTCTACATTGCAACGAGCATTCTGAGCCAGAACCACTTGGGTAGTTCTTGYTAGAGGAAAATGTCTGAGAGCTACATTCATGAACATCTTCAGAGAACACCATGGSTGATATTTCTATTATTTTGGCCCCTCTTTTCTGTGCATTCAACCATCCTAGACAGCCCTCTCCTCGTCAGTTAGGGAAGGCTAGGCTAGGTGCCTCGTAGAAGGGAAATGAAGTTGTTTATCTCTTCCCCACCCCACAAATACATGCAGTACATTCATTCCTGGATTTTACGTCTTCCATTAGGTTCAGCACAAAGCTAACCAACCTCCTTTCCTTCTGGCCTAGGGAGAAAACTGTATGTTCCTTTTAGATTGTCATGAACAGAAGTACACACAGCTTAGAGACTCATCTCACACTGTTCCCCAGTCTTACCCAGTTTTCTACCTGAACTGCCTATGATTTGGAACTCCCGAGTTGCCCAAGCATGCAGATGGAACTGACTGCTGCCCCCTGACCCAAAGCAAAACCTGACTTGAAGCAGCAGAGACAAGCAGTCCTGTGTGTCCACACCCAAAATACTTAATTCCAACTAAGTCCATCTCTACAGGGCAGAACTTTGTTACCGGGACATGTTACTCATTGAACTGAGCCAGACTCAAGGCACCTAAGGACAAGGGCTACGGACTGAATCTCTGCTAGAAAAAGCATATCCCTGTGCACAGAAACTGGTTCCACAGACAGCAGAATGCAGATAGTGCTCTAGACCTCCACTGGCTGCAAGGGAGTGGGAAAAGGTGCAGGTCCCTCTGGTTTGTGAGCAAGCATGGTCTGCACAGCCCTGCTACCAGGACAGGTCAAGAGAGCAGTGGCAAGTTCCCCGCACCTTTCGCAGCCCTCACCTTGCGCAGGATCTTCCCGCAGGGCGGCCAGCCCAGCCCCTGGGCCAGGCCGTTGAGGAACCAGAGCCCGGCGAAGGCCATGACGGTGGAGCTCCAAGAGAAGACCACGTTGACCAAGCCCACCATGAGGAGGCCGGAGGAGAAGAGCCAGCGGGCGCTCATCTGGTCCGAAAGGATGCCGCTGATGAACTTGCTGATGGCGTAGGCTGCGGACTGGCTGCTGGTGATGAGACCTGCGGCGGGCAGAGCCCGGGGGTGCCTCAGCCCGCGGCACAGCCACCTCCGGGCCGGCGGGGCGGCGGGGCCCGGCACCGACACTCACCCAGGTCGTCCTTCCCCAGCGGCACCTCGGCCATGACGGCGGGCATGACGAACGAGAAGGTTTTGCGGTTGAAGTAATAGAGCGTGTACCCCACGAACATGGCCGCGAAGATCAGGGCCCGGTAGCGCCCGTAGCCGCCGGCCGCCATCCCGCAGGGCTCCGAACCGCTCAGAACCGAACCGAACCGCAGCGCTCAGAACCGAACCGCAGCGCTCAGAACCGAACCGCAGCGCTCAGAACCGAAGCGCAGCGCTCAAGAACCGCCCCGAAGCGCAGCGCCGGCACCGAGAGCGAGCGGAGCCCCGGCCGGAGCCGCCCCCGCCCCGCCCCGCGGAAGTCCCGCCCCGGCCCGGCCCGGCCCCGCCCGCAGCTCCTGCACCGCTTTGCAGAGCCTGTCATCAAGTGTAATTTTTATTTTTGGTTGAAGAGGCCAGAATGGAGAACAATGTCAGATGCACATTCGCAGCCGTCGGATCCCACTCGTGTGTGTGGCAGCAGCAGGGACGGTCCGAGAAGGCARGAGGTCACGCCCAGGGACAGGGAAGGTGACACGATGAAGTCGGTCCGAGTGCACAGAACACCGAGCAAGGAGGGCAGTTGCCATTGGACTTTCCAGGTTTGTTTGTTTGATCCGTATCGCTGTCCTTGTGACTACAGGATGTGCCAACACGACCCATTTTTCCCCCTCCTCTGCATTCAATGTTGCCTTTTCTGAACTTTTTTAACAATAAACAGAATCTTTTTGTCAAGTCTTACTTCATGGTTTTTGGACTCTGCTACAGAGCACGGACAGATAATTTTAGCAAACAGCCTATGCAAAACAGACACAGCCATATCTCAAAGTACAGATCATCTGCTCCCCAATTCTGTTCCACCTTCCCACGAGTCCAAATATTAATACACCTCCCACCAGCTGAAATCACACATTTGCTCCAAGTCAGGGCCTCATACGCAAAGATAACAGCACTTCAGGTCAATATACTTCTGCAATCATCTTCACAAGAGGTGGGGCACAGAATTTATGTTCCAAGTTACTTTCTAAACCTTAAGATGTTTCTTTACTGCTTTCTCCCCACAGGAAAGTCACTGACTTCTGTTCTGAAACAGAGACAATTCTTGGTGGGCACTCTGCCACACATAATAAAAGAAAAACAAAAACCAGTTCACTAAGTTAGTAGAGACAAAATCCGCAGGAAGAACAAAAAAAAATTTACATCTCTATCCCATTGTGTTGTCATACCCTTGTTGTGTTCCATTTACATCGTGACTAATCAGGTCCATAAGAAAAACAAGAAATTAACTATGAAATAAATAGATGCTGACACATGTGGATTTCAGGGTGTTACAGTTCATCGTTTTTCCTGCTTTCTCCTCCAGCTTCTGCCTTCCCTTTTTTGGACCCTGTGTAATGAAGCAAACTCAGTTTCACACTGCGGTGGTTTTCAGAGCGTGCAAAGCAGCACCGTGAGTCCCTGACATCTGCAGATTTGCTACAAAACTTGCAGTCCATGGTACAGGGATTCTGCACGTTGATACTCAGCTCCCTGGAGCTGAAGACATGAATTCCCTGCATTTGTTAACAGTGCTGCCCTGGCACTGGGAGCAGCACAGCAGCTCTAAAGCAGAGGCAGTCTCACAGCCAAGGGACTTGGCTGCAAACTGCAGGGAGCCGGCAGGGCACAAAGCAGGAGTGGTGTGCAAGAATTCCACTCTGAACAACAAAAACCATAGGAACAGCAAGGAACCAAAATGTGTCTGTTTGCAGAATTAACAATGGATCAGCAGTCAGGGGTTCTACCATCATACTATTCTTTTHAGCTAAAAATAAGCAAAGGAGCCCCCAAGACACCTTGCACTTGCTGCTCCCAAGTTCCAGATAGTTAGCAAAACATTTACCCACCAGAGTCTGATCCAGGCTTATCATCTATTGCAGCTTTCTCAGCTGTAACAGGCTCCTTGGCTGGATCAATATCCTCCGGTTTGTCTATGTTTAAAGCAGAAAAAGAGTCAAGGAAGAACACACAGGTGCAAAAAGACTAGGCGAGTCCAGGTGAGGTTCAATCAGCTAGCTGTGGTGCCTCAGCAGGGCTGTAATAGCTCACTCTCACAGCAGATCACTCTACAACACTCAGAGAAGCACTACAAAACTGCTCCGTATTCCCCTGAGTGGCAGGCTTTATGTCCCCAGAAGCCCTAGGGACTGACTGGTTGCACAGGCATGTGACCTTTGGAGCTGTCACTAGGAGCAGGATTCCTTCCTCAGACCAGAGCCACCGGCATACATGCTGACATACAGAACTCCAGATTCAAAAGGACCAGGCCACTTGGGACCTGAGCATCTCAGAAAGTTTAAAAAACCATAAATCCTAGTATCCCAAGAGATTTTTTTTTTCCTGGGGTCCATCTAGGCAACAAACCTTTCTAATCAACAATTCATTCTACTCCTTGATCTAGGACAGGACCTTGAGTATTTGCCTCTGCACACTGGAGTGTAGTCAATGGCTTATCTTTCCTAGAAGTCAACCAGCCAGCAAGACTGGTACTGACCATCCTGGGAAATTTATAAATAATTTCTGTTTCTTCGCAAAAAAAAACAAAGAAATGGTGGGGGGAAAGGACACTGCAATACATAGATTTTTCCAGCTGTCTTTGAAAATTAAGAGCAAAATCATTTAATGCCACAGTTTACAATTGTCCTCCCTTCTTTAGCTCCCTTTCAATCAAGAGAAACGCCACATGTTACATGTGGTAATTATAWAATAGGGAGTTATATACATGCTTCCCACCTGCTCCTTACCTTCTTGTTTCCCCTCCGTGGGAGGGATAGTATTCTCAGTCTCAGGGGCTGCTGTAGTATTCTTGCCTGAATCAGTTTTTGTGGCGTTCTTCTCCCTTTTGGGTTTGGGTTTTGCAAACTTGGCTTTATTCAGAAGATACTGCACTTCCCTGTCCAGGGCTGCTATCTTGAACTCTATATCTTTAGACAGCAGCACAGGCTTTTCAGTAGGAGTGAGCTTGTTCTGTTCGGCCAAGGTCTCATTTTTCCAAATCTGTGGAATGCGAGGGAAGAGGTGCTTTTGGAATGCTTCTGGGTTCTGAAGTGCTGAGTATCACAGTATCTCAAAGTCACAGCCCCAGGCTATTCTGCATTACTCAGGACTGCTCTGCTCCTTCCTGCATTTCCACTAACCTCTCAGTTACCCACACATAGGATAAAGAGAAGCAAGACCCCATGCCTGCCACAAACTCCAGCACCTGCCTTTAAAACCTGAGTGCAGTYAGATCACTGGGCTTCATTCCCACCCCGGAGACAATTCCACATGCAACACAGACCTGCTGGGGTCAGGTTGGGCATTAGGAAACACTGAAACACCCTAAAGGTTTGCTGGTGGCACAAAACCAAAACATGCACATTCTACTCCATGACCCTGAGTTAAAGTATAGGGCAGGGAACATAACCCAAACTGCCATCCCACCCTCCCCCAGCATCACTCCATTCTTTAGTACCGTTGTTTCATTGATGGCTTTTTCCAGTGTACTCAGTTCCACTTCTGTGAATATCTGGTCAGACTCTGGAATCATTCGGGCTCCCCTTGTAGATAAGAAACCTTTTGTTAAGCCAAGCAGACTGCACCTTGGCAATTCTGCAGTTACAGCTCCAGCAATACAAAAACATCACAACCACTACGCTGGACCCTTCCTGTCCCACATTTTGGACTGAGCTCATGTGCACCTGTTCACAGATCCTGCAGAACAGGACACCAGGGAGCAGGGTTCTGCTCACCTTTTCTCAGAAAGTGCCACCAACTTTCAGACCACATTCACTCTGGTCTCATTCTGCTGGCAGTTCCTTCATGACCAGTTGCATGATATTCCTTCTCAAAAGCTTCCTCTTACCTGAGAAAGATGGTGGAGTGATTGAGCAGACTTTCCAGGGCAGCCAGGCGCTCTGGCCACTTTCTCCTTTCCTCAACACGGAAGAAAAGGTTCCTACAAAGCTTTTTCAGCTCTGAAAGCTTGTCTTTCAGCTCCTGAAAATGGCAGAGAGGAGAAAGGAGACAGTTAGTTGGATCACTGTCTAACATGAACAACTTCAGAAGTTATAACTGCAATTGTTGTCAACTCTATCAAATACACCCTTTCAGTGCAGTAAAAAGAGACACCTGACTAAGCTTTCAGTGGAATCAACAGGTTCCTGCTGAAGTTCTCATAGAAAGATCCATGGCTAGGACAAGTTCTTATTTTGTTCTGTGCATAATGCACTGGGGAAGCAAGAAGCTCTCAAGAACCCGAATACAAAGGCTCTGTCAGCCTCTGTGGTCATTTCCGTGTCAATGAGAGCTGACTGGTATCCTGACTACACACAGCACAGAACACACCTTTGTTGCAGCTGCATAGCCCTCATCCTCCATCCAACTGGAAGCTTCACTAAGCTTTTTGGAAATTTCTTCTCTCTGCTCCTCTGTTGAGACAAACTGATACTCCTCTTGGTAAAGCTTGTCCTAAAAACACAGAGCAAGCACTCTGGTCAAACACCACTGAGTCTGGAAGCATAAAACAAGCAGAGCACTCACTTGTAGCTGGGCTGGAGTGCTGCCTGCACTCTCCCAAACCTGAGCTCAGCTCCTAGCATTGCCAGGAACACAATGGTAATAAACCAGGTACAGACACAACCACATCCCATGACAGTAATGCTGTCATTATTTCACACACACTTAACACCAGTTGTTTCTTCTGCACATTAGTTTTTCTGAGAAGCTGTAGCTTCTTTACAATCTGGAGTCAACTGTTCAATCTGTTAGACATGCTGAAGGGAAGGTTCATTTTGTATTGAGGAAACATGGGCTTGGGAAGCCTAATAGCATCAGAAAAAGTGACTGAAAGACAAAGCCTAGACTCTTCAAATCAGCTTCCCACAGCTCAAACAACTCCCTTGCACTCAGATCAGCCAAAAGCTGTTCAAAACACTTCTACTGCTCTCCTGGAATTCTCATTTCTTTATATCCCTCTCTTACCTGGGTCTCAAAGATGAATGATTCCAAGCTGTTGGCTGATTTTTCTCTTTCCTGTTTCTCTAGATCTCTGATCGTCAAGTCTTGGAGTCTAACATGCAAAGAGAACAGAAATCAAAGGAAACAAGTGCATCTGGTTGAGCAGCACAACACACACACCAGCTTTTACGGTCAGCAGTGCTCTATGTGAGCCACCATCATTCCAAAGCAACTCAGTTCCTTTATCCAGAGTACAAACTTAGCAGTATCATTTCAAACCTACTTTTTCATTGAGCTCTTCAGTTCATCTTCCACCAGATCAGGCACATCGTTTAAATCCAGCTCCATTGTGATCTCATGGACGAGCTTCTGCTTCTTAGGTGCTTTGATCTTCTCTTCCTCTGTTTTGCTAGCTGTGCTGTCACCGGAACTTTTGGATGGTTCTTCCTCTTTTGCAGTTTCTCTATTTTCTTTGGGATGCTGCAACACAAAGTATGTTCTCAAGCAAGGGAACAGATTTTCAGATACTACAACTTTTTTCAAAGGCAGGACACTTCAGAGAAGGGAGAATTCTGACAAGGAAATGCCATTTCTTAGGTACTAAAACCAGTCCCATTCCTTCAATATGATGCTCACCTGAGGCTCTGATTTCTCGCCTTCTTGCTTTCTCTGGGACTCTGCTTTCGGAGACTCAGTTTCTGCTTGACCTGAAGACTGCTGTTTCTCTTGCCCCTGCCCTCCATCAGCATCTTCAGTACTGCTTTTCTGGTCTTGTTTCTCCCCCTGCTCTTCTTTACCTGTTTCTGCTATGCTCTCTTCCTCTTCCTGTTCATCACAAGCAAGTAAAGGGGAAAGGAAAACAGTGTTCTAAATGTAGAAATTCCATGCAATGTTTCATAGAACAGATACTTCTACGTAATTGTCAGAGCAAGACAAAAGGGCTCCCTTCCAGTAGCAGTCACCCTGGGGCTCACCTGAACTGAGTCTGTCAGGTTCACTCCGGTCTCTGGTGTAGGGCCACCACCTCCAAACAAGCTTGAGATGGTGTTTCCAAGTTCTGTTGATGGGAGACAAAAAATTTGGAATGTTACGTATCCAGAGGAAGAAAGTAATCTTCAGCTCTTGGTCCTTCCCCTCACAACTGCAGTGATCACCAAGGGGCTCCCTTGGCGGTGCAGAGCTTCACACACTCCAGATTCATCCTTCTCCAACCTCCCTCCGTGTCCTTGTGTGCACAGACAACCAACATACAGTCAGACTGTAATTTCCACACCCCAAATCCAAAGAAACACAATGCTTGTAGTTATGTCAGCCACTACAGGTAACAAAACAGTCAGTGTGAATATCAAAGTTCAGCACTTACTTGTCAGTGTTGACTCCTCCTCCAGCTTGTCTTCCACCAAGGTCTCAAACACAGATTCCACCTTGGAAATAGAAGCTCAGGATTAGTTTTAAGCAGGGACCAGAAAGAGGGACAGAACTGAAAAATGTATCAGCTGACAACCATCCCAAAGGGTGGTGCTTACCCGGTCAAGACTCAGTACACCACTCTCATCCATGTTGAAGTGTGCTTTGATGCCTTTGGATTCATAGTCCGAGTGCTTCTTGAAACTGTCCCCAACTCCCTTTAGCCTCACAGTAGTAAGATTGAGAGAACCAAAAACTCTGATGACACAGAGACAAAAGCAGAGAGAGAACTCAGGATAGCAGTGCTGCAGAGCAGCRAATCACTGCCCAGGCTCATGCTGGCAGCGATGGGCAACTGCATGAAGGGCTCAGCGTGTTAAAGGACATGCAGCTCGGAGAACAGATGTGCCAGACACACTGGCAATGCATTTCCAGCCACCTAAGTTGCATTGCCACAGAGCTGCTGGCTTGGGTGCCGGGCTCAACTCACCGCAGGTCRTCCTGATTCAGGAATGTCAGATCTCCATAGTTGACGTAGAACTCAAAGTCATCTGTGTAACGGTTGAAAGTGATTACTTTACGCTGGGGATAGGGTGCCATGCGCTGGAACAAAATCCTCTTGTTATGCTTTAAACTCCTGGACTTATCATCCTCCTCAACTTCACGAGTAAACTCCACCTGCATCAGAAACAGAAAACAAGACACGGCAATGGCAAATTGTGGTATCCTGCATCAGCAGCRTTTGGCTGTTCTACCTCGTGCAAAAGATGGGGGGCAAGCAAATATTCCTCAACTAATGTTTCCATACATCTGCCTCCTTGGATACTGCATTTCTAAATACAGTAGACTTTCTTCTGCTTTCTTTATTAGATTGACAGAAAGATCTTTAGAGCTTCCCTGCTCAGAGGAAGACACCAGGTTCCAACCTGGACTATTTATCCCAGCACAGTCCCACACTTTACACAAGAGAAGGAAAGCCAAAGGTTACCTGGATAGGAAAAACAGCAGCATCCCGAACAATGAAGGGCTTCACCTTAAATGCTTTGCTCAGAGCAGCTGCCTGGTAGACTGCACCCATTGCAGCAGCTTCATCAGCATTGATATTCTTGCCCAGTTCTTCCCTAGGAAGGGAAGAGGAATAGACGTGAAATTTTCATCCTCCCCATAAACAGCAGCTTGTCAATAGGAGACAGACTAGAAGGGGGCCTCACATACTCACTTGCCCACAGCTTTCAGCAAAACCTCCTGCACTTTGGGGACCCGTGTGGCACCGCCAACTAGAATCACCTGGTCAATTCCGTCCTAGAGATTGGAAACAGTCACCTTGTCTTAAGAAAGCAATTTTTGAAAACTAAGTCCAGGGCTTCCTTATGCTCCTTCCCCAGTCACCACGTGTTGGCATGGTGCTCTGACAACACCCACACTACGCCCTGCTGTGCTGGTGCAGGCCAGCACCCAATCTCAGATCTCAGACAGACATAAGCCGTGCTAACAATGAGGCACCTGGAGTCAGGTCTGTCAAACAGTGACAATGTGACCGTGGATTCTGGCCACCTGAAACATGGGGCTCAATTCAAATTAGACACAACTATAATTCAGTGCCAGAGAAGACAGTGACCCCAAGAGCCGGTTGGACCAGAACAGACAGAAATCCAGACTCTAAGAAGTAAATTGGAGTCTTGTATTGAATATCAGAGGCCAAAGTGCTCAAGAGAGTTGTGGCACCCTGGAGAGTGAGCATTTAACCCTCCACTGACTCCCTCCAAAGGACTGCCTCAGATTTGGTACAACTGCAGTCTGCAATAGGGCTCCCTTTAGGGAGTGTACAAAGGAGAAGCCCAAATACCAGTAATTCCATTTCCAGACTCATTCAGTTAAAACTTCAGGAGTGAGACCAGAACCAGTATCCAAGACAAAAAGAAGAAAGATCATTATTTCAAACCTACGGCACAAAAGTAAAGTGTTTTAAGAGAAAGAAGCCCCTCCTCCAAGTCCTTAATTTCTGGTGATAGTACAGGGGAAGTCTGACACGTTCCTGCTTGACACTGCAGCAGGCAAACTCTCTGTAGCACCAACATTGCTGTCACAGTAGCAGGCATCTACTTCCCAATGGTCCTGATAACACAACCACTGATGCCTCAATCGTGATGTGACAGCAGCTCCACATATGGAAGCTTCAGGCTTGGTAATGCATTTTCTTAAACACACCATGTTCATCTCTGCGCTACTCAGAGCCTGCTGCACGGGTCCTGGGACGCGCTTGAACAAGTCAGAGCACAAATCTTCAAATTCCTGTCTTGAGACCTTGGCTTTGAAGTCTATATCATCCAGTAGGCCCTCAATCTGTCCAGAAAAAAAAAAAACAAAAACAAAACAACCAAACCAGAATGAAATTAATTGCGGAGCTTTCTCCAAGCAAAATCTTTGCCCAGTGTGCAAATTTCTGGCTTCTGTAATGCACCACAGATCTGACCACACTCCTCTGAACCCTACCATTGCTAAGGTGAAGAGAGGATGGAACATGAGTGTAACGGAAAGCTTCTCTCAATGAAAGTTTATTTAACATACTTGACACGAGTAACTCTTCTTCAATCCACTCAATCATGGGTGCTACCATCGGGCACAAGCTGAGAGGGAGCAGACCTGCGCTGCAGAGGGACAACGTTCCCTTACACCAGTCCTCCACCCCACACTTAGCCCCAAAAAAGGAGGAACCCCAAACAAAAGGTCAGACCTGCGCCATGTGGTCGGCATTTGCACTCAGCACGGTTTTCAGGCGGTTGGCCTCCTTCAGCAGCTTGGCCATAGCCCGAGGATTCTTCCGGACATCTTTTGTAGGGTGCTGCTCATTAAAGAGTTTTGCCAAGTAGTCCCGGAGACGAAGTTCCATCTCTAATCCTCCAAGAGTACGGTCAAATCTGAGCAAAAGAATGAACAGAATAACTGAAACCAAACTGAAATAAAAACCAATTTCCTACATTATTTCACAAATATGCAGAGGAGCAAGTGGTCAAAAGTAGCTGCAGCATTATCAGCTGTGACAACTGTGAAAGAACAATGGTTGTCCCCAAAATAACATTATAATGAAAGAAAGCAAAGATTCACCACCACAACAGCCGTTCAACAATTTCATTACATTTGAGGTAAATGCCTTATTGCCAAGCACGTCAAATAGCTGAAAAGCCAAAGGACAACTGTTTCAGGTCCCAGGTATTTTTTTATAAACAGCAATATAAATGCTTTGGAGTTGAAATTGCTGTTCTGGCTATGCAGACCATTCTTGTCTTTATTTGGCAACGCATTAAACACACTGCATTTTCATTCCTCTATAGAAGTATATACCTCTTTCACAAACTGGCATACTCTGTAAGATTAAATGAAATGGAATAGGCTTACATAGCTTGAGGCAAAAAGCAAGCCTAAAGCAAACTAACTACACTGGTCCTGGAGCCCCTGGAAGTTCTCAGTTACCTTCTGTACAAGACAGCAACACCAAAGTTATTCCCAACTGGAGCCTTCTTGCTCCAAACGTTTCCCACTCAGCCATCCAAATTACTGTACTGCAGCCTCACTGCAAAATTCTACATGATTAAGAGATTGTGAAACAAATGGTTTCTTTCCTGAGATCTGTGGGGTTTGTGCAACTTATGTGGAATTCTTACCCAATGCCYTGGATCTGCAACTGAGGTTGGGTTCCCGAGTCCTTAGTTTTCACTGTCTGATACGTTACAATAGTACAAACAGTGCTTCCTGCTCCCATGTCGTAAAACATGATATTCTGAAACGAAAAGCTAGGATGGTGAAGCAGAAACACCTGGATATCCCCCATGAATAAGGAAAGAACCTTTTCAGCATGATACAGGCCACAACTATCCATTCCCTGGACTCCCTTTATAGCCTAAGGGCAGGACTCATACTTTGACCAAACATAGATGTTCAGGGTCACATTTAACAGAACAAGACAAGAAAAGTCCTCATCTACTTCATAGTTCAAAACCAAAAGTTTTGCTCTTTCTTCAGCCTCAGGAAAATCAAGTATTTCTGAGTCAGTGTTCTAATACTTCAGGTAATTGCTACTGTTATTTCGCCTAGCTGATGGGCAAGGAACAAATACAGGTTTACAAAATGGGAACTCCCAGCACCTGCCCTCGCTCTGGAAGCTTTCAGGCTTCACCACAAAGACACACAGGGTTTAATCTCTTTGTCTTGTTGATGAACACATGAAAACAGAGGAGCCTGGCTGACAGGCAGTGCTTTCTCCCCTGCATGAAGGCAACTTGGCAGAACTCTCCACATCTCCCAAATGCACCTACCTGTGCCGTGGCATTGATGTCCTTCCTCCTAAAAACCCCATAGTTCAGTGCTACAGCCGTGTTGTCGTTGATGAGCTGCAGCACCTTGAGGTCAGCCATGCGGGCGGCGTGCAGAACTGCTCTCCTCTCGGCTTGGTTGAAGTAAGCAGGAACTGTGATCACTGCATCTTTGATGGGCTGCTCTGAAACAGTTGCAGGGAACTCTGTATCAGTGTAGCCACATGCAAAGACTCGTTGAGATGGAGTGACAGCAGCAAACCCAGGGGACCCAAGGTGAAGACTCTACAGAATGCAATCCTGCAGCAGCAGCCAGGATCCCTGGGATGAATCTCTGTACCCGGCTGAAACCAAGCAGACCTGGCATATTCGCACAAAGCCACAAGTCTACTGACCTCTCTTTCACGTGTCAAGATACTATCAAATGCTCTGGGTAGCCTTCAATTTCAACAAATACAACCTGCATGAAGCCTCATGCTGTCACTGGATCATAATCACCCTCCAGTAAAGTCTTTGGACTGGCTGTAGTGTCACCAAGCATATGACAAAGCCTCCCAGTAATTTATCCAGTTTTCATTACTACGGTATTTCATTAGCAACACAGCATGAAATATGCATGACAGCCTCCTCTCTTACCAAGTTTCACCACAAAGAGTCATTTTTGCTCCTTTAGTTCAGCTCCAGCAGCAAATCTCCATCCAGAACAGCTACAGCAAAGCCTTCACAGATCCATTTCCACCCTCCCCTGCAGCCACCTCCCATGTGCCTCCACTCTGATCACACACATGAGAAAACACTTCGCTTTTCTCCAGAGACTGCCTGTAAGACTCCATTGCAAGGCTAGGTGGTAAATGGGGTGTCTTACCCTAAGAGTAGGATTAGGATCCCAAACTTACATCATATTAGAAATAAATGATAACTGGATAGCTGCTAAGTCTTGCTTACAGCCTACAGCAGGAGACAACCCATGTCCTGTTACTAAAAATGCTGGGTTTCTGAACGCTTTCAGTTTCTACTTGAATCCTATAATGTACAAACTCATACACAGACAAGGAAAAGCTAAATTCTTCCAACCTGCAAATTCCTCAGCCAGACCACGTGAATAGTTCAGGACCATGCCCAGCATCTCCTCAGGAGAATACTGTGTTGTCCTACAATGGGAAAGAAATGATGGCATCAACAGCAGAAACATGGCAGCCCAAGTTCATCCCACCAAGAACCTAAAAACAGCCACTTACGGGGACAACTTGAAGATGACAGTCTGTCTTGTCTCATCCTTCACCAGCTCATGCTCTGGGAATCGGGACTGGTACAGTGCCACGTGGGGATTATTGATCCGCTTACCCAGCAGATCCTGGAAGTATCGGAATGCCACCTTGGGTGTCCTTATGGACTGCAGGAAAAAAAAACTCTCACCATCCGCTTGCATTCCTTCAGCTATGCTGTTCCCAAACCAACCCCTCCCAGGCTATATGGGGAAYGACTCTTGCTATGGGAGTAGGAGCACACAGCCACTACACAGAGCCAATGACACATCAAGGAGATGAGAAGCACAGGACAACAATAAATCTCACTGGCTCAGACATTTACCCCAAAGTGAGATACCTGTATTCTGCAAACAGGAATTCTTACCATCCCCAGCGCGCTGTCGCCAAAGAGACGCTCGTTCTCCTTCAAGGAAACAGCCACAGGTGTTTTCCTTCGTGACTCCCTGAGGAAAAGGAAGGTGGAATAAACCAGTTGAAACCAGTGAGGAAGGATGTTGTTCCCATTCCAGAAGGATTAAGGGAAAGTGCTCGGATACCCGCTGTGGAGAGGGGGGCCAGCCTCTGCTCAGCTGCTTAGCTGGCCATCCCCTTCAGTACTTTGTAAGACTTTTTTTTTGCTTTCCTGCAAGAGAAAGCAAGACAGTTCCCTCATTCTATCTATGACTCCCAAATTTCAGGGAGGTAGCTGAGAAATCTCATTATCTCCAGACCTTCAGAAACTAAGGACATTCCTGATTGTATGTCCTCTCCCACCTGCAGATTCTTAACTCAGTGTGCAGAAGATGGGCTGCAGCAGCAGCTTGAATGCAAGAAGAGATCTACATGCTTCGCAAGTGTGGGCTCTGAGCAGCTGCAGCAAAACAAACCTGGCTCTGGGCTCCCTTTGTGAGGAACTGAGGGCGGGGGACAGGTGAGAAAGTGACTGATCCCCTTTTGGGTTTGCACCACAACCTGTTCTTACCSACATGGGCTTCCAACACTCGGTGGAAAGGTGCCCAAAGCTCACGCTAACCCCTCAAAGGTGAGTTAACAAACTGCCCTGGACGATGCCCCGCAGCTGCCCACCCGGGGCAAGAGTGACTCACGACCCTGGGTGGGAGAACAGGAGCCTTTCCCTGGCAACAGAGGAATACGGATGGCCTAGGGAGCTCCAGCCACCGTCGTTTCATGTCTGCTCCCACTCCAAGCGCATTGGGACAGAGCGGATCCCCCTGACCAGCGCACCTCCCGCGGCAACAGACACTCACTTGTTCAGGACGATCTCCATGGGCACCCCAGGCTTCACGATGGCGATTTTCATCGACTCGCTGCCCACGTCCACAGACATCACCGCCACCGGCTCTGGAAACAAAGCCTCGGTGAGAACGTGAGAACCGGCTGCCGGTGTGGGCGGCCAACACAAGCACGGGCCCGGAGACGGCACTGGGGCGGCACTGAAACACCGGCCGCTCCTCCCCGCCGGCCCCGCACCGCGGCTGTGGCGGCCCAGACCGGCCGGGAGAGCCCGGGCAGCCGCTGCGTCCCGGCACGGCCCCGCACCGCGGCTGTGGCGGCCCAGACCGGCCGGGAGAGCCCGGGCAGCCGCTGCGTCCCGGCACGGCCCCGCACCGCGGCTGTGGCGGCCCAGACCGGCCGGGAGAGCCCGGGCAGCCGCTGCGTCCCGGCACGGCCCCGCACCGCGGCTGTGGCGGCCCAGGCCGGCCGGGAGAGCCCGGGCAGCCGCTCCTCCCGGCACGGCCCCGCACCGTGGCTGTGGCGGCCCAGGCCGGCCGGGAGAGCCCGGGCAGCCGCTCCTCCCGGCACGGCCCCGCACGTACCTGAGGCGGGCAGGAGGCGGAAGAGAAGCAGCCAGGGCAGCAGCCAGCCGGGCAACAGCGCCATGCTCGGCACCGCTCGGCTGGACTCGGCTCGGCTCGGCTCGGCTGGACTCGGCTCGGCTCGGCTGGACTCGATTGGGTTCGGCTGGGCTCGGTTTGGTTCGGCTCGGCTCGGCGGGACCCGACTCCGCTCGGACCGGCCCGCGGAGCTCCTCCGCCGCGGCGGCCCCGCCGTCTGGCTCCGCCCCYCTCACGCGGCACGCGCCCATTGGTGCGGCCGTCAGGGCCAGCTCCGCGCGCCAATCCCGCGGCGCGCGCGCGTCCATTGGGCCACGTCGGGGGAAGTCGGAAGCGGTCACGAGCGAGAGCCCGCGATCCGATTGGCCGAGAGCGCGGGGGGCGGGGCCAGGGGGTCGGCCCGAGCGGCGYGCGTGCTGGCATCACGCGTGCGCTTGCGCGTTGGGAGCGTGGCAGCGGACCCACGTGCGAGCCGCGCGCACTGCGTACGCCCCCTGGCGGCCCAGAGGCGCCTCGCGGGCAAGCCTTCACCAAAACACACCCTTAAAAACGCCTTAAAAACACACCCCTTAAAAACACACCCC